CTTAATTAAGCGATGTGGCTGGTCTACAGCTAATTAATTAATAAAATTCATGATTCTGATGCCCTGAACGCACGGACTTTTGTCCCCATGTTCGTAAGTGGTACAATACTGCCTTGGGGAGGAAAAATCCAGTATGGATCGGCTGGAAGTCGGTATCCTTTCTCTCTTAGATGCTGATCATCGAATGCACACCAGGACTCAGAGGCAGCAAGAGTACTTGTGCAAGTTACCCCAGCTTTCATAAACGATGACTGCACTGCATAGTTAAACTCGGCTTGAGCACGAGATAACCAAACGAGACGCTCATGATCTGGTAGATCATCAAACGAAGTTGAAGTTTCTTGCCAACCAATAGCTTTTACGACTGGGGGAAGGACATTGTATCGAAAGCTATCGGCGAGGTTGCGAACTCCAATCTCGGCGTCCTGAACCATCCCGTGAAGGGAGAAGCTGTATATTGCACACCACCGATGTCAAATCCGAGGCGAGCCAAAGCTGGGAATTTGACCCATTTCAGATCAAGAGAGTCCAACGAGTGGTATTGCGGATGGCTAATGCGAACCAATTCAGTAAGCTCGTAAGGAAGGATTGCCATTGCAGGCTCTTCGTTCTCAGCCATGGCCACAATAGGTAAGATATCCCATCGTGACCTCGGCTCAGGTGGATTCCAGCCTAGGGCAATGATGTCTCTAGTCAGGCGAAGATTGGATGGGTCTCCCAGAATGGAATGATTCTCTAATTCATACTGAGAGTGTTAGCACGCCTCCGTTCTAGGTGAACTACATTTGAAACTTACGGCAGCGAAGGTCAGCAACTGGGGTGACCAGAACATGGGACCTGTGCTCTTGATGCTTCTGGGTGGAAACATGAAGACTGCAATTACATTAGCGCCGTAGGGCAGTGGTGTAGAAGATGCCATACCAGTAGGTAAGATCCTGCCCCCATTATATGCAACAGGAGCGTGCTCAACAATTGCGTCAACCATGCCTCGGCTCGTCTTGATGCTCCTCAGATCTACCAGCTTCAGCTCGGGATAGTGTGCCCGCATGATACACTTTCGTGAGTTTCTCCAAGCACAACGAATTCCAAACCGAAGTTCTTCTCGACTCTGGGTATAGCCGGAACTTGTCCATCCGTTGACTTTGACAGCCCCAAGATCTCCAACTACGGTTTGAGAAGCCTGCCAAACGGAAGCCTCCAAGGAGTTACTGTCGATTTCTTTCAGGATTTCAACTAAGCGAGATGCGAAATCCTCTCGAGTCGTGAACAGTCCCTCATCGAACATCTCGTGCAAGAAAGCTTCCGCTTCGAGCTTGATGGCAGCTAGTGGATGATTCTCTCCAACATGAGGCTCGAGGGGATGAAACATCATACCAGAGGCGCAGAAATCGGAAGTACATCCTGTGGGGCCGAGAACAGGACAATGGGAATGAATGAGCGAGTATTCCTTGTTCTTGGCCAACAAGAAGTCAGTCGACTCTTTCGATCATGAGTTGCTAAAGATACCTTGGGACAGTTGTTAGATTCCCAATTCACAAAATATGAAGTTCGAGAATCTCCCCCATGGCTAGACTCGGGTGGTGTTGGCAGAGACCGCACTCCATAAGACACATGAGCCTCATGATTGCCAGTAGATGATATTGTGACTGGCGATAACTCTTGGCGCAAGTTTGCTTTCTCCATTGTAATGGATGCGTTCCTGCTTCGGTAAATCGTGCAAGTTGCTTCGATGGATGTGAAGAGACAGTCCACGGATTGATCTAGCAAGTCCAAGTCTTTGCCAGGCAATGCGGGAATTAATCAGAATCGATGAACTGGCTGACTTACGCTTCTGGGATTGTTATCGCAACTCAATTATCTGAGTACCGTTCCAAATCATGTAATTGACTTTTTGCGATGTGTTCTCGACTTCAGGGGCGGAGTTGTAAAGCACAAAGATCGTATACCGGTAAACTAGACATAAATCACACCACAATTCCTTGGAGTGGTACGCTTAGCGTGCAACTTGAAAACATTGAATCTCAAACGATAAAGTGGCATGATTTATGGGAAGCTAGTCTAAGTTCGGGGCTCAATCTAACATAGTCAGTATTACAGACCTACACCTTCCCAAATTTCGTGACAGACTGTCCATTTTTTCCTAAAATGCTACCACAGCTCTTAAGTATGTTGATTTTTGTCATGTCATAATGAGCCCGTAATGCCTGATCCGATGTCAAAGGCTTCACAAAGCAAGAGAAGGAACAGCTAAGCAGCCAGTAAACAGCTATGCTTTTTACTTGGCAATCCTATAAGGACCACCAAGGTATGACATGTCTTTTCGATGCACGAGAAAATTCCCAGAAAGCTTAAAGTCCCATGCTTAGGTGTTACACAAAATTGTATAGAAAGCAAGGAAGATCTATCACGTGAGTTCGACACAGGTGCCGGAGCTTGACGCGGAGCTCGTCAGCTTCAGTTACAATGTTCAACCAACACATAGACATGCCATTCCTGTTGTGATATCACAAAACTCTTCTATGAATACCACGAGATCAGCGATATGGAAGCTCCGTGATGCAACTCCATGATCAAGATAGCTTCACAACTTCGCACGCCACATGGAGAAACTTGAAAAGCGGTCGCTTCCCATACTAGGGCTTGCAACATACCAGGAGCGTAAGACCAGATATGGTCACAATCGGATGTGGACCGATCCAGATTGGCCAAGGCTCTAGTGAAGCTGTATCCTAGGCAGGACAATGAGAATGGCTTACGATTGTGCGCGGAACCTACTACTGTACAGCTATAGTACCGAATGGCTCAAAGAAGATTGCAAAGTGGTCAGCAGAGAGTAAAGACACAGACTTGACATCAAAGACAGATTGGTATGGTCCTCTATCTTCCCTCCAGCCATTAGCGATATCAGCAGGCTGCAACTGTTTATGGCTACGTTCAGCGACTAGGATGCTCTTGTTATGATCCTTTCTGATAAAGAGGTCACTCTCATGATAAAATAACCTGCAACAAGCGAATTGGATGTTATAATGTAGCGTGCAACACGCGAGTTTGTGGTGCACATCAATGACACCGATCAATGTCGGCAGAAGAATTTGGGAGGTGAAACACGATAGCGAGAGGACGCGAACATTCTTATAGTAGTCCAATATTTGCGCATTGAGCTGTGTCGACGGGAAGTTGAAGATATACTGGTCTGACGTCAGCCAATCAGATCCTTCGCACACTCATGTGCCTTCCCGTACAAATTCGTCCGGCTCGGATACCGAGAGGCATAATGCACTTCGAAAAGATCTGTCAATCTATACCCAACATCGCGATAAGGCATTTCTAATAGGCTGCAGGAAGGCCCCACTTCAGCCAAAAACTGGATACTTGTGTTACTCCGGACAATTCGCTGCGGACAAAACAAGCCCACCCACGTATAAGTGCGACAAGTCCCCAGAGTTCGATTCTACAACTCTTGAAATTCGACCAGAAAGAAAAAACCAGTCTGTAAATCAACGAAATCGCAATCATGGTCATCAAGGTCCACGGCGTTGCGCAGTCAACCTGCACCCAAAGAGTGCTCACCGCTCTTATCGAAAAGAATGTCCCCTACGAGCTAGTGAAAATCGACTTCATGACCGGGGAACACAAGTCTGAAGCATTTCTAAAGATGCAACCCTTTGGAAAAGTCCCCGCTCTTGAAGAAGATGGCGTTTTTATCTTCGAAAGTCGAGCCATTGCCAAATATATCGCCAGAAAGTTTGCTGGTCAGGGAACAAAGCTCATGCCCGCAGATGATGATTTGATTGGGTATGCGCTGTTTGAGCAGGTGAGACAGGACGGTCACATGACGAGATCTTCAGGCTGATTCTGGGATAGGGTTGCTCGTTGGAGAATGCTTATTTCGATAAACCGGCATCGAGTATTGCGTACGAGAAGATGTTCAAGAAGTATGGTCCGCATGTCTGTTTCTTTCTCCAGGGTAGGCTAACAAAGAGAGGTTCCGAGGTCTTGGAGGGCCCGATGAGGCATTGGTGAAGAAATATTCCGATGATCTTGATGGAATTCTTGCCGTCTACGATGGTATTTTGGCAAAACAAGCTTACCTTGCTGGTGACAAGGTTTCTCTCGCTGACCTGTTCCATCTGCCGTATGGAAACGTGGTGAAGCAGACAGGTGGAGCAGAGCTGTTCGCTAAGCATCCCAATGTGGACAGATGGTTCACTGCACTCGAGAATCGGGAAAGCTGGGTCAAAATCGGACAGCTACAGAACTAGAGTACGGGAAAATGTCTAGATTAGCCTCCGTCTTGCTTTCGAACTACTAGCTAGTGATATTGATAGAAATACAGATTGCTTAAGAAGTGGAATCACCGTGCAGATCCTCAGCGAACCAATCATCTTCTTGTCAGTTGAGATTCCATGTTTCTTCGCAATGGAATCATATACTCTTCTGCTTTCTGGTTGGTTAGTGTATCTGTCGAAATGGGCTAGTTATCGTAAAGTTAAAGTGAAGCTTGGGATGACTCATGGTGGGCCACACATCTCCCCCAATCACACAATATATTTCTGAAATCCTATCTTCATGAATTTTCTCAACTTCAAGTACGATCACGATGTCGACAGTGGGTTGCGAAATCGATTCAAAGAAGAACAACAGACGATCGTTCTCTCCATCATGCATTCTCCTCCTCAATGGATTCCCTGGCGTCGGAAAACTCACTATCGCCAAAGCTCTTCAAATAAGGCTCAGACACAACAATGCACCACATCGCCTCATAGACAACCATCTTCTCATTGATCCTGTGGTTACCATCGAACCAGAACGAAATACAGCCCACTACTTCTTGCGAAAATCCTTCCGGAGGACAGCCTTCGAACGGTTAAAAGCATTGAAGGAGGAAGAACTTGTCCTCATATTCACAGCCTGTTTAGTAACGTCAAGGGTACCAACAGCGTATGATGATATTGAACAGTTTGGTGAGTATGTAGATTTCGCTGAAGCTAAAGGTGTCCCTTTAGTCATGTTCAATATTGTGTGTGATCTTAGCGCGAACTGTGGAAGACTATATAGCGAGGAGAGAAGAAAAGGGGCTGTGGGTGGCAAGACTAAGTTGGTAAACATTGAAGTTCTCGAGAAAATCAGGCAGGAGACCTCATTGTTGGCTCGTGAGCAGGTCATGGCTTGCAAAAAGGGAGTAAATATTGTTTATTTCGAAGTGGATACTTCTGATTTGGCGGCTGGAGATGCGGCCGAAAAGGTGTGGGATCTTTTAGACAAAATATGAAAAGACAGATATAAGAATTTGTCGGCCTTTTATTGGTTATAATTCAACGCTCTACTACACACGGCATACATAGACCAGAACCAAGAGTTTGGAATCAAGAGCAACTCCGTCCGAAAGAGGAAGGAGGGGTCATTCTCGCTTCAGTCACGTGGAAACTTCCCCACCTTCTCCGACCTCCTCGATCCTTCTTTCACTTCCATCCATACGACCCCGAATTCCATCGCAAACAAAGAAAACCCAAATGCACACCCAATGGTATCCTTGGAACGAGCTTTGAAACAGTTGAAGGTGACTTCCAGCCCCGATAATATGAAATAACTCACATGCTAACTTAGGCCCCAGTCCGCTTTAAAATTTCTTGGTCCATGATACATAAATCATCGTTCTTCGCTTGGTGTCTTCCAACCAGGCAACTTCTCAATTTCACGTCGCATTATCGAAGACGTTGCAAGATGACGACCACGGTTTCCACAAAGTTTCTTATCATTTCTGATACCCATAGCTTCGAATTCGGCGACGCAGAGAAAGTCAATGGTCCCTTCCGACTACCAATCCCAAAAGTTGATGTTGTCCTGCACTGCGGGGACTTAACCTCAGTTGGAGGTCCGTCAGCCTACAAAGGAGTTCTGAAGATGCTTGGCGCCATCGATGCCGAGCTGAAACTCGTCATTGCAGGCAACCATGATCTTGACCTCGATAGGAAATACTTCGACTCGCATCTAGATGAAGACGACGACCCAGAACAGCACAATAAATCTGTTGAGATCATGACTGGAGCTTTGGCCAAAGAAGCTGGAGTTACATACCTGGTAGAAGGGCTCAGCACTTTCACACTCAAGAACGGAGTAAAATTCACAATATACGCGTCACCATACCAACCAGAATTCTATGACTGGGCATTTCCATACGAACGCAATGAGGACCGATTCAATCCCCCTCAGAATATCGTACCTGGTGTTAAGTGTATCACAGAAAACCCTATTCCGGATTTTCCTGGCATCGATATCCTGATGACGCACGGTCCTCCCGAAAATATTCTTGATGAGACCAACAAAGGTACCCATGTGGGATGCGAAGCGTTGATGACAGCCGTCAGTCGCGCAAGACCACTTCTGTACTGCTTTGGACACATTCATGAAGGCTATGGTGCCGCAACGATTGCCTGGAACGAGGATAAGACCAAGATGGGAGCAGAAGCTATACGGAGCCAAGGTCATCTCTCAAATGCTTATTCAGAGAGCTTAAATTGGTCACCCAAATTCGGAAAAGAGACACTGATGGTGAATGCGGCCATAAAAGATGTCAGGTATAAGCCTACAAACGCACCATGGATCGTTCAGCTGGACCTTCCTCGTGGGGATTGAGCATCGTTCTGGCTCAATTCGGAGAGTTGCAGTGGAGCGGCGCTCGCTGAGAAAAGTACTTTATGCAATGTAGTAATAGTTCAAGAAATGATAGAGAATCGACATGCGAGAACATCCAGGCACATTGGTGATGATTGTGCGTTCACGTGACTCCTCCCCCTTGCAGCATCGAAACTGCCGATCATCACATCCCCGCATAACGTCATGATTTATTCACCTTGCGAACATCATCCAACTTTTCTCAATCAACTTCATCAGCTTCAGCTCTTCAAATCCAGAAGATGTATTTCTCAACGATCCTGCTCGCCGTGACAGCCGCCGTCTCCCCCACTTTAGCCCAAACACAACAACCAATTATCGTCCCGCAAGAAACAATCTCACAGCCACTCCTAGGTTTCGGAACATGGAACCTCAAGGTCTCACCAGAGAACACTTCAGCTGTTGTCTCGCTCGCAATTCAGACTGGATACCGACAGATTGATTGCGCAGCAATTTATGGCAATGAAAAAGCGGTTGGAAAAGGTATTGCTGACGGGTTGGAGAAAGCGAAGTTGAACAGGAACGAGATTTGGGTTACGAGTAAGCTTTGGAATGACCAGTAAGTGTTTTCTATGAAGTCACAAAGATTGGCGCTGGGCTGAAACTTGAAAAGTCACGGGGATTATGAGACGGTTGAAGAAGCGTTAAATCAGACATTGAAGGATCTTGGACTTGAATATGTTGACCTGTATCTCATGCACTGGCCAGTCACGACCTCGTCCAAGGAACCCAAGTTGGATTATGTCAAGGTACTTCTCACGATTAAAGCCTCGAGATTGATTCATTGCTCACCCATCATAGACCTGGAAATCTATGGCCAATCTTCCAAAAGCCAAGGTCTTGAATGTCGGAGTCTCAAACTTCTCCCCAGAACAACTTCGCCACCTGGTCACAGAGACTGGCATTAAGCCAGCAGTACATCAGATGGAGATGCACCCCTATCTCCAACAGACATCCTGGCTCGCAACTCATCAAGCACTAGGAATATCCGTAACCGCTTACTCACCTCTCGGGAATTCCAACCCCACTTATGACCCTTCCTCCACATGTTCCAAGACATCACTGCTCTCGTTCCTCTCCTCCCTCTTTACGGGAGACAAGCAAACACCCCCGCCACTCCTCAAAAATCCAACAATTCAAGCTATCGCGGATCGCCGAAAGTGTACCACTGCTCAAGTAGCGCTCTCGTGGGGTATGGGACGTGGAACAAGCGTCATTCCAAAGAGCAAACACGAGAAATGGATCGTGGAGAATTATGAGAGTTTGAAGTGTGAGTTGGGAGTGGTGGATTTGGTGGAGTTAAAGAAGGTTGGTGTGGATTGGACGACTAGGTACAACAACCCAAGTAAGGGCTGGGGAGTCAAGTTGTTTGAGGGTTTGGAAGATGCTTGAATTAGCTGGTGACAGAACTGAAGCTCAAAAGTCGACGAATGTGTCCATTAACGAGGGAGGAGATTTGAATCCGGGATCTCGGGTAAAGAAGGGTCTAGTGCTGGATCCAGAACTGTTTGCGAAGGCATAGGAATATCATCATATCCAGCGCTTATACTCTCGATCCTTCGGATAAAATCTTCCACGCTCTCTTTCTCTCCTTGTAATCCTGTCCCATCACCATTTCCTCTTCCCATAGTATCACCGGTACTCCCCATCCACGAAATTACCTTCGTAAAATCTTCCACCTCTTTCGTTGCCCTGTCAAACAATGCGTTGCATTCTTCATACATCTCGGTCACCTCAACACTCCTCTCCCCCTTCGCCAACATACCCAATAATTTCAACAACGGATCGATAAGCTGCAAATCACTCTTTGCCAGGGCATCACCCGGATCCGCTATCAAGTGATTTAGCAACGTCTTCGTCGCACTCACAAAGATATGCAGCACGATCCAAATGCAAGCATACTCCCCTTGTGGCGTTACATGTAGTAACTTAATTGCCTTCCGCGCTTCTGCCACGAATGTGATTGGAGGCGGCAACGCGCCGTGATGCTCGAGATCTTTACTTGCTTGCACTCCGTCCACTTCCGAGAGAGCAGGAGTAGAGGAATGGATGGCGTTCAAGGTATTAAAATATACCAATCTTAATATTAAATTCCGAACAAGAGGTTCCGGAAGACTAGAATGTTGGGCCACGTAGAAATAGTCGTGTTGGAAGTCAACTGCTATGTTATCTCTCCAAGCTTCGAGTTGGGCCTCGAGGTTTTGAATAGCGATCACGCGCTGCGGATACGGTCGTCGGGAAGCAGCAACGGAAAGAAGGTGTTTATAGACTTGTCCTTGGATCTTCGCGAGACCGATCATATGATTCAAGTACTCCAAGTCGGGGATAGAAGGTGATGGGAGCTCAACGTCCATATCCTCGTCATCTAGGATAGGAGGCTTTCGTGTTCGGATACACACATCTCTATCTTGATAATACGCAATCCAGAATACACGTTTCCGTTCTTCGATGACCTCTCTCGGTAACCCAGAACCTTCTTGCGATCGATGAAGATCAATAGTTTGAGCCAACTTCATAGCTGCGGCAGAGAGACTGGCATACGACGTCGGACTGGGACTTCCCTGCACGATAACCGCCATCCCGAGCAAAGCTTGCACTGCAGTAAGCGTATTGTTTAGCATCGTCAACTCGGTGGCCACAGCGAGGGCATTTTGGAAGTAACCCCAAGCGAGAATATCTTCTTGTCGACTGTTCAGAGATATCATCGAGCGGGAGCGATGGGCAAGTGCTAGGACGACGTTGAGACATGCCCACCAGCCCGGGTCCTCGTACGGTGATTCAGTACTCTCGAAGCGTGCGAGGAAAGATGTTTGGTTAAAGATTGGAAAAGCGGAGCTGAATCCTTGGAATGATCTTTGGATCAAAGCAAGGGCTTCGGGCTTGGGCGGTAACGGTCGAATGACTCGACGGGAGAAGACGTCATCAACCCGCGTCAGTGAACAGCAGTTATCAGGCAATATCCAGCCTTCTGGTTTGCAGTTCATGAGAAGGAATGAAGGACTGGTTGCGCCGACTCCGGCCCGCTGGACGCCATTAATCAGGTCGTAAACCGAGTCCTGGAAGCTGGGAGGTAGGTGTGCCGCACTCCAGGAAGAAGAAGCCTTGTCCATTGGTCGAGCAGATATCAATGCGGTTTGTCGTGGTACTTCAGAGCCCACGGTCTTCGCAGATAAGAAACTTGATTTCTGCTTCAGTTTCTCTTCCATCTTTTTCAAACGACCTTCCAGTTCCTCGACTCGCTTCTGTCTGCATTTGGTTAGCCTCGTCTGGGCCCCTTTTCAAGCGAGAGTCCTGACCCTGGTGCTCTCCTTGGCGCTCTTTTTAGACTGATAGGCGTGAAATGACACAGCGTGCTGTATTTGATGCATTGCTGACAAGAATTCTCTGTTGGTTGGCATTTTATCTTTTTCGTGCGACACATATCACAGGCCTTTTCCTCGTTAACTCCCGCCCAATTGGTCAATTGCAAGTACTCACTCTGGTAATAAATGGTCCCGAAGCTGGCCCCGCCACGGACCCCTTTCCTGGTTTTTGCGACATGGTGCGGTTTTGGTGGAATGTTTCGAGTTTCGACAACATTCAGCTCGGCGAAAAGTCTGAAGAAGACGAGGAAGGAGTTCAAAGACATCGTGCCTTGCTCGCGTACAGCTTGTGGGGATCTGCACAGGGCTGGTGCTGACGAATGGCGGCGCTTTTGATTTCAAAGCAATTTTAGTGTACCAGATGGTCGAGTTGTACCTTTGCGCTGCGTTCAAGTTTTCAGATATCTCTAAGTCATAAGAACAGGAGAAATAGATTTTTGCAAGCGGACGAGGATTGGTATGCTAGGTACAATTTATTTTCAATCAGAAGTGGAAGAGTTGTTGCATTGATGGGGAATTTCGGTAACCGAGGCTGGGCTCGGACAGCGAAAGTGATGGCACCGTCACGTTTGATAGTACAGTACTACTTTAGAAATCTTGCACTACGCAGGCTATAATCCATGGATCCATTTGAAGACTCAAAAGCCAATGCTAAGGTAATGCATTGAGTCTATACTACCAGTGTTGAAGCAGTGAATACGCTGAATAGTTCCAAGATAGATAGATTTTCTGGCATCCTCGCCAGAAAGATTAAGAAAAATCCAAAGAGAATCTGTTCAAGAGTCTTTTCATTTAAGTTCATAATCTTAAAGCTGATTTTCGTCCTTGAAAATCAAAGTGAGGGACATTATCAGCCTCCTTGAAGTGGGGCACGGTAAACAATCTTACATAATCCGGACTCTGGGAAGACTCCGAGCTCCATAATCTCAATAATATACGAGCATTAACAGCTTCGATACGCTTCCAAGGCCCTCATGTTCCACCGAAGACGAGAAGGCGAGGGATGAATCACACCTCAAAGTACCTCGACGACCCATTTAGCAAAAGGCGCAAACTTTGATCAGACGCGTGATGAACCACCCGTGTATCAGCTTCCCTTCGATCACGGGAAGCTCTGAGCTCTTTTCACGATCTCTACTCAGAACTAAGGCACATCTTCTTGCAGGAGATCAAGGTATTCAATTCTACAATTCGGGCCATTCTTTTGCCTAGCTAGTGCCAGGCATGAAAGCTGCGGCGATACTGATCTGTGCCGTTTTTTTGAACTCATGTTTCTGCAACCGTCGCCGTTTCTTGCGGTCATTCTCAACCCGAGCCAAAGCATCTGAGGACGGCCATCTGGTTTCATAGATCAAGTCTCTTCCTCTAATCATGGGTACCAGATCATACTCGACCTTATAGTGGCGCTTTCCGCACAGGTTTCCGTCATGGTCGGTCTCGGGTTCCACAATCTCGAGAAGATTCTGATCTTTCAGACAAGTGATGTCTGTGACAACTCGGCCCACGAGCTGCACATCTGTAAGTGTTGCTGTTAGGTACTGTTTTGATGTTGGTATCCCCTCGACATACCACGGTTCTTGAAGCCTTTGAACGGGAAATGAGACTCAGTTGCAGTGTCTGACACGTAAAGCAATTCATGACACAGCAACTTCGGAGGCGCACCGTCAACTTTAGCCTCCTCTTCGTCTTCATCGACAGCGAAACTATGTAGCATCTTTATTGGCTCGAACTCTTGCGTCGCTAATACAGGATGTCCCTATCCTGGTGAGAACCATGTTGAACCTCTGCAGAATGCGACTGACCTTGTGCAAAACATAGTTGATCACGTCCACATACCAGTCCCCATCATTTGGGTCTTTTGATGGGTATGCATGTTTATGGCCCTCGAAAATCTCGGGATCGATCGGTTCTCGGCGAAGAAAACCGTAGCTGGATTGGATCACTCTAGGGGGGCCATTTGCTTTATCAAGCGCACGAAGTACAGCACCCGCAGAAACGGCTGCTACACTACAGTCGATGTTAGAAACTACTTTCAGAAAGTGTACAAGACTTCACCTCTTCTTTTTGTCTTCGATAAGTCTGATTGTGTAGGGAAGGTTACAATCCCTTTCGTACTTGATAAGTCGAGCCTTCAGGACGCTTATCAGCGACGGACAAGCAGAAAACCCGCCGATGAGAAATACGGTCTGATTTAGATATTTAGCATTCTGCGTTTCTGTGACAGAGAACTTTATTGAGGGGTTTTCCGGGACTCACTTTGACCATGAGGGTCTTTTCCCGAGCTACATCCAATTGTTTCTTCAGGACAGCCCACACTCTGCGGAGAATTGGAAGATATATCTCCTCATAGTCTTGCCTGATAACCAATAAGCCTCGCAATAATCTGCTCGACGGTGGAACTTACTTTTCCATGATTAGGATGTTATTCTCGAACCGCTTTCTACCTGTCAGGCCTGGAAAAGCTGAGGGAGGGTCTCCCTTGAGATGGTCGATACGATATCGAAAGAAGGCCTTCGCCATGATATCCGCCCTTGGTTTGTCAAAAGCTTCGAAATCTCGAGCTGCACGGTTGATTATGGATTCAAGTGTATTGTCGTTGCATACGAGATATTTCTCGAAGTGCAATCGTGATCGCAGATGCTTCCTGAAATTATCGTTCAAGCAGCTGCCGCCGCAATTGTCACCTAGAAAATTGCTTGTTAGTCTAGAAAACAGTTGGTCCGTTGTCTGTAGCTTACCAGTCGGTTCAAGAATCGCAGTTCCAAGCCTTGTTGGATGAGTATTGCAAACTTGATAAGTAGCGCAATCAACAGTTCCACCACCAGCATCAAGACAGGTGATGGCTTCTCGAAGCTATAACTCCATATTAGCAGGGCAGACGCCGAGAAATTCCATGAGAAAACCTACCGGTGTCGTCGACATACGCTGCAGCATCCAAGTGACTCCTGCTTCGGGCTCTGGCACGATGAATAAGTTTACCAAGCTGTTGTTGACGAGGCTCCCGAATGACGAAGCACGAATTGCGGCTTCCACAGAGAGCTGTAGTACACGGGATGCTTGGCTAGACCAGATGGTTGGTACGGCAAGCACAAATTCGACGGAGCATTCCTCGTCAAAATCTTCATTGACTTCCAATTGTTTCTTAGTGTGCTCAAAGACTTTGACAAGGAAGTCGGTGATAATATCCCGGACATCGCGCATGTCTGAAACGTTTCTTCTCCCGTATTTCCTTATGACTCCGGCCTTGACCAAATGTTGGACTTGCTGACGGAGTTGTTTTCGATCCTGCTCTGTGTATTCTGTGCTAAGCATCATCAATTTTGGTCGCTGCAGGAGCCTGCTAGGATCGCGTTGGGAATTCAAATGGTACCTCTGATATGATACTGAGTAACCCCAAAAGAATTCAGACGAGTCGTCTTCCAAGTCGATTATAGGGACTGGAGTTATGTCATTTTCATTTCCTTCTCCTTCATCTCTTATCATGTGATGGGAATCAATGTCTTCCACAAAATATTTGCTGTTTTTCATGTCTTCTGGTTCGTCGAATTGTTCATACGGGCGACATCGTTTGATAGTCACCTCCGGATACCAACTCTCGGTCGGTACTTGCTCAGCGTTGCCACTACTATCATCCGGCCAATTTCTGATGGTCTTGATGTCACAGGCCTGGGGCAATGTAATTTCTTCTTCCTCGAGTGACATGATATGATATGATACCGAGGTGAATGTTGTTCCGTAGTCAATGCCAATGCAGACCCTTCTTCGAGACTTTCTTGGACCGTCAGCTAGAGGTTCCTCTAAGATGATCCCATTTTTGTCATTGTCGTCCCTGATATGCTGCGTGGTGGAATTCCAATCTACCGTAGAATTAAGACTTCTGTCGTTGTTGAGACGATGTGTACGCTGCGTAGTACTTGCAAGTTGATCCCGCCACATACGCAAGGAGGAGGACGCAGCGACGTTTCCACGGGTGCCGATGTTCATCTTGGATTTGGCGTTGAGTCGACGAGAAGCTTCTTGCAATAGTCGTGTCAAACCATTCCATAAATCGTTTTGTTGTTGTGACTTGAGCGCGATTTGGCTGGGGCAGAGCCGCAGACAGGACAACGGAACGCGTAAACAGTACACAAACCACTCAGCTCCATCTGGCAACCATTTCATACTAGCCGAAACAGAAAATGCATGTCGTAGAATGATCACAGGGGTATCCTATTGGCGAATATTGATTAGACAAAGAAGTAAATGAGGATGGCGTTGATCGTCGCTCGGTCGGCTTCCTCCCTCCACGCCTCTCGGGCGAGTCTTGCTCCTCCATGTCTCACGGTACCAGCGGGTCGGAAAGTAGTGATGCACTGCGCCTCAAAATCGATTCGCTCGGACCCTTCTCAACCTTCAAATACGTCAAAAATTCATCCAGCAGCTTCCAATGGATTCTTTCAAAACCTCCCAATTGACACACCGATGAACTGTATGGGGGCAACGATATGTCTTAGCGAGACCCCGCCCCCTTCTTTTCAAACAGGCTTGCCAATTCGCTCTTGCTCTTTTACCAGTCTCCATGACCGGACTAACAAATCTTCAATGGTCTTGAGACCTTGTTTTCAGCTGACAAGGGTCTTGTCACACAATATTCGACTGCGCCAAAAGTGCGTCCGTAGGTGTGCCAACCTCAAAATACGCGGGGTAGGCTATGAGCCATCTACCTATGTTGCCTCGAGGTCAATATCTCTCGTAACAACATACATTCGGTCTTTATTCTCAACTTGATTCATGATGGTTGTCCATCCCTGGCAAGAATCTGATATTGTGACCTTGCTTTCATGGCTTGACTTTTGCATTGCGCACGACGTCAACTTCTGGGAATCTATCATCCCCAAGCTACAAGAATCCAGGCTCATAGACACCAATCAAGACTTCTCTTTCACCAGGAGGCAGATACAAAACAAGCTGATCGGTCTCTGTCGGCAAAAAATGTCACTTCGATTCGACTCCAGATCGCATCCCAAGCTATCAGACGTTGTATCAAGAGGAAGTGCTTGTATTCCCGGCTTGACGCAGGACATGTTGACCAAAGTGAAGAACGCGGTCTTTCATCTAGAAAAGAAGTATCGCCAGGGAGCTTATAGAACTGGGATTGGGAAGAACGAGCACGACCGTGGTAGCATAGTTGAGAAACAGGGTTCGGAATCTAGCCTTTCTGTAAGTCAATAATAGAAGATTCCCTTCTCGAAAAGGTACTTATTGTCAATACAGAGGCTCCCCAAAACTTCGAATACTAGACTAGCAAGAATCAGACTTCCCACGTTGCATGGCTCGCAAGCCCAAAACCTTCCTTCTCCATCCAAAACAACACAAGAATCACGGGCCTTGACGAATGGACACGGATTTCATGACACCGGTCTTGGAGGGGACTATATGTCTCTACGAATCATAGGGCAGGAGAGCCAAGCTGCGCGTATCAGTACTTTGGAAGAGAAGAATCAAAGGCTTGCAGAAGAGATTCAGCTGCTTCACAACGCTCGCAACGACCGAGAAGCTGCTTCTCATGATCTCAGAGAGTCGGATTTCTACACTTTCTATCGAGATGGGTGGGATATGAAACAAAGGCTGGCTAGCATGCAGAGGACAATAAACTTCCACGAGAAACTCGTTCCATTGTGGAAAGATTCCATGTCGTACGGGGACATCGACGAGGAAATGGGCATGATTGAAGCGGAACTTCAGTCTATCTCCCACTGTCTAGGTACTGCCAGTCTCCGGAGAGATATTACCGTGGCCACTGGAGGGCTTCTCGAGTCCTTGATACAATCTGCGTTTAGAGTGGGCTCGGTGATGAAGACAGCTAGTGAAATCTGGAGAGAGATACTTTCGCTATCCGATTCACTCACTGCCCTCAATACTCTCGTCCTCGTTGCTATTCGAGATTGGATTCTGAATACTTTATTCCCCGTTTTCGAAGATGGAAGTCTGCTATCTGCTCTATTTAAATCCTGGAGGACTGTACTTTTAGACTGTGGTATGTCCAAGTACCATCACAAAGAGGGTTTACTAACGGATCTAGCTGGTGCAAGTCTAGCACACAGTCTTGAAGCCACTGCTTACTCACAATTCATTGATAGCAACGCCTTTAAAGACCACCTCATCCCCGAACAAGCGGCTATCCTTGCGGACAGGTTCATTGAAGCATCTTTCCCTATTTTCCCTCTAAGCTTTGGTAAGGATGCTGTGGAGTTCTTCCGAGAGAGACTAATAGCAGCCTTCACAACGGCTTATCATTTCAAAGCATCAACAGTACTCATGAACAGTCGAAGGTATCAACTAATTATTGGACCACCTAAGTCACCAGAAGCTGACCTCAGGACCCCTGTTCCCCATTCGACTATGGGTAGGACTTCGACCGAGCGCATGACAATCGGACGGCTCAACGTCTACAACACTATCTTCTTCAACCAGCTCAATCGACAAGCCAATGCTCTGTTAGACTCAGATAACTTTGTCTTGGTCAACGAAGCATATTCTCCAGCAGATTGTATACATTCCAAAGACATACGTATGCAAGACACAGAATGGGGAGACCACAGTGTCTCCTACCTTTCAAACAATCTTGATATTTCGCATCATTCAAGACTTTCATCGGAAGACAGGAGTGATCTGTCAAGTCTCTCAAGCTGGGTCAGCGAAGCCCAGGTCAGCAATGCACTTGACACGGAGAAGAGTATAGCACTTTCATTCCCACTCCTCTATCTTAGTACCGAGCGAAAGCAGACATTGCACTTGACCGAATAACGACGTTCTTTTCGATCTCCTCCAGACCATACTGAGCCACATTCTCCCTCGCCCATCGACACAAATACTGACGAGACCGCAGATATCAATACCCCGCGGCTTCGCAGCCCCTCTCCTCCCACTTTCGTTTGCTCTCCGTGCAACAAGTCCTTCACAACCCTATATAGTCTCGAAAGGCACCGAGGACGAAAGGCTCGTATGCAATCCCGATACCAGACATGTGAATGTTGATCTGATGAATTACATGCAGATCTGAGCCAACTAGCTAAGCACAAATCATCAACCCTTTCACGCGGCGCACGAATCTCGAAAGATGTACAGGAACGTCCCCTTGCTATACAGTATCGTCCCGTTGCAAAAATACACACTGGCAATCATTCCCGAAGACGCCATTCCACGAGTCGCTCGAAAACGGTCAATGAGCTGCATGTTGCCAATATTCTCTCAGCTTTATCTCAAGTTCCGGGACAGTAAATTTTTCTGACAATATGATGGATTAAGACAGCGAGGAGGGGAAACCAGGTGGGAGATATATGAAGAGTGTATCAGTGGGACAGTGTTTGGAAGCATTTCTTAAGACGGTGGATCCTTGAGAGTATACTTTACAATTGACGATTTAACACTGAAGGCTCCCCTCTGTGACACATTTGCTGAATCTTTGAGGCGTTGATATAAAGGTTAGATGTCGCATTGTGGCTAGGTGGCTTGCCTGTTTACGGGCCCCACCGTCATGTCCGACCAAGCAAAGTGCTTTCATATAACCAACAGTCGCACTTCGCAGCTGCTAGGTGTGTTCCGATACAGTATATTCTCAAAATACCTTGTAACGCCAGCTGCGGCTTCCTGTATTCCCATCCCCACCGGACTCGTCACAATGAACGAAATGAATTATCTACAGTTCCCTAGGCATTCGAATCACCATCGCCACCGCCAGCTTGGCAAGAGCCGGGATTTGAAGGGCGGCTGGCTTTTTTGAGATGCACTGAAGATAAGGCTCTGCCCGTTTTTGTGCAAGATCTATTTATGGATAAGAGTGGGGTCAAATGGTTGGTGAAAGATATTGATGCTGGCGATGGCGCGCATGCAAGCAGACCGAAAGAAGTTGCTGAAGTTGTGGAAGATTGGGCCAATATTTTCCTTTCCAAAAGCATCTGAAACCCCCTCATAGAAGACTGAAGTCAATGCATCTTTCCGTATTCCACATACTATCAGCGAGCAGGCAATAAGACAATTCGGGTTCTTAAACTGACTTCCCACGGTATTTATTATTACAATGCAACACCCTGCCTACTTGCTGACCATAATGACTTGGATTTAACCGTGACTTGATCTTGTCCAAACAGTAAGACACTTGGGTACTTCCAAACATCTAATCGTTCTTAAGTGAGACTGTTCACTTCTAAAATGGAAATCAGAAGGAAAACCGACAGTGAATGCTCACGTTACACGGCGTAATCCGTGTGGCGTGGCTGCATGCATTCAACTACGAATCCGGCATGGTCAATACTAAATAGCGGAGCATCCTACTGGCTCTACACGAGATGATCCATCACATCCTCAGCGCCACCTCTCATGAATGGGTAAGGCTGTGAGGCTGCGAGGCGTTCACACACCCAAATGCATCTCGATACTGAAATTATCGGATTCTAATCCTTAGGGCAACAAGTGCCAAGAATTTGAATAATCTTTTGTGTTTCCAATAGGCCTCTCCTGCAAGCCATCGAGTCTCTGGCTGACACGCTGGCTGATTGATCAAACGGCCGGCGGCAGAGTGCAGCCTGCGACTACTCGAGCATTAATTCGAGAGAAAAAGGGTGGCCGGATAACCTTTTTCCACTCACTGATAACACCTCCAACAAAGCTGCTCTCCTATTCCGAGAGATTCCGGTGTTTATGCCGTGTTTTCGCGATCGTCCCCAAGCATTGGTGAAGAAAGAATATGAACACCATGGACACTACGTGAGCATCCCATTACCCCTTTCATGGATCCTTCACTCACATGTTAGGTCACCGATCCATGGAAGTGGATCTCGTGCGACTGCAAAAGAGCGAAGCAATCCAGTTGATCAAAACGACGCTGATGGTACACCTAGCGTGTTATTAAGGTTCTATAAGCACCTCTTGGAGACAGAGCCAGCATATGCTCAGCTATCGGCTTTGAGAAAGAAGTTTATTTCCTCTCTTCTGATTCTTCGTTTCTCAATTGTTTTCGCTAACTTCGAGATCAGGGTTGGGAGAATCCACAAGGAGACGAGCATTTCAAGAAGCAGAGGAAGCAAGCAGACTCGGGAAAGTCCGCAGCTCTATTCTATCGCATGATGAAAGAGATAGGTGTTGAACTTCACCTGAAAACGAATGCTTTAACACTAACCAATGTGTCGCCAAGTGAAGTCAAGATCTTAAGTCTTTGAATGGCTCCTGGAGGTTACACCGCCTGCGCTTTGCAATACAACCCTGAAGCAGAAGCAAGTGGTATCACACTGTCTCCTGACCAAGGAGGCCATAAAGTTTTTTTGAACTCTCCGCTGTCCACTGTTCTGTATTGCGACATCACAATGTTCGCCACCGAATTCGGAGCGGAATACGTCCCTGTCACACATCCAGAACATGCAACGTTCAGTACCGAGCGACCATTTCTCTCTCAGACTTTCAACCTTATATTCTGTCATGGTCAAGTTCTTCGCACACACCCACGAATGGAGTATCGCGAAGCATACGAAGCTACTCGTCTAACATTTCCCCAGCTGACCCTCGCGATGCAATGTATCAGTGAGGGAGGAACATTTATTATGCTATTGCATAAAGTTGAAGCTTGGGACACGATGGACCTCCTATACCGATTCTTGCAGTTTTCTGATATAGAGCTGTTCAAGCCAATAAAAAAGCATGCGATCAGGTCGACGTTTTACCTTGTGGCAAAGCAAGTGCGACCAAGTTCCGAAGCAGCTAGACTGGCGGTGCAGCACTGGAAAGAAGGGTGGTGGCAGGCGACGTTTGGTGGAGAGAATGGCACGGGAGGGACAAAGAAGATGGCAGATGCTGAGTACATTGAAGGGTTCATCATCGAGTCCGGAGTAAACTGGCTGGGCTTGGACGAAAGGTGTTGACAATTCAGGCAGATGCTCTGAAGAAGGCCGACTTTGTGCGCTGAAAGCTGGGACTATGATTTACCCTTTCTGAATAGTATATGGTATATCTGGTTGAAACATCGAGTCTGTTGAGATAAGAAAATCTGGTTTTTTAGGACGAAAGATTGTTCGAGATAATTCCATCCAATGACTCTGTTGAAAATTTCTGACATAATTCATAGACTCGCTAGCTTCAAGATATCACCAAGAGAATATTCGTCCCACTTTCTCCTTCTCAACCATTCACCTAGCCCTCCTTCATCCTCTTAAGCTCCTCCGCTAGAAATTGACTTCTGGGTGCCACAGTTGCTGCCAAATCTGCAAGACTTTGATTGCCCAGAATATCGAAAACAGTGATGTCAACGCCAACAACATTGCGAAACCAAGTTCTCAACTCAACTGCAGATAGCGAATCGACACCATAGATGTGCATTGGCTTTGTCGTATCGATGTTGGCTTTTTGAACAGCCAGCGTTCTCGACAATTTTGTTTGCAAGCCGTCAATGATTATCTCAGTCGCTTCTTCCAACGTCTCTGCTGTTGCGATCCTCTTACTGCACGTTTCACTTCCATTTGTATCATCCTGGGTGCTATTGCTCTGCAGGTTAGACGTTCGATAAAGAGGTGAGAACATGGGTCGCAGCATCCAATAGGGCTCTTCAACGCCTTGAGCTTTGAGTGCAGCAGGTGTCTCGATGCCAGTGACCACTTGACTTGGTGAACCTAATTTGATTGGCAGGTCAGGGTTGCAAGCGTATTCCATCATCGCAAGAAGTGCATTCTCCTGGACTTCGCCAATTGCGTCGTTTTCTATGCCCTCCCTCTCGGCAACATACCCAATGCGGGTGAGTTTGCCAAGGTCTAGAGAAAGTGCCTTCTCCCCTTCTTTGTTACGGTAGTGCGCAAGTCCATCTTGGTAGGTGTTTCCAGCTGCATAGTTGGATTGCCCACGAGATCCAATCAGCCCAGCTAGAGAGGACAAGAGTATGAAAAAGTCCATCCCTAATGGTAGTAGAGTATGCAAATTCCAAGATCCGTCAACCTTAGCTTTGGTACCAGTTTGGAAATCGGAAACTGTCATGTTTGCGAACATTGCGTCCTATAGCTATTTCAGTAACATTTCGAAAGCAGACGGTACAAAATAAACGGCCTACCTTAAGCACCATAGATGCTTGTACACAACCTCTGATCGGCGGCATGTGTGCACACTGTTGAAGAGCGCTCTCGAGAGAGTCTCTGTCCCCAACATCACATGGCGGGGTAGCAACGTCAATCCCTTGATCTCGTAAGTCTGCGAGGAATGCGACCACTGCTTCACTGTGTAGCTTTGATCGTGAAAGGAGGATCAAGTGCTTTGCAGATCTAGTCACCATCCACCGAGCTATGCTCCTACCGAGACCACCAAGACCACCTGCTATAACGTAGGTAGAGTTCGGGTCCAAGTTGTAAGGAGGCCCGCTGCTAGATACGACCTACAAGATAGAGATACGTCAGAGACAAATACCACGAAATAACAATACTGTTACTAACCGGGACTATATCATCGTTGTGGAACTCTATCACGAGTTTGCCCTTGCTCTTACCACTTTCCAAATACCGAAAGGCTGTTTCCACTTCAGAGCCGTGGTAAACTTCAATCGGACTGGGAACTGTGATTTTCCCATGACTAAAAAGTGCCATGCCTGACTCCATAAGCTCAGTGAGAATTTGGCGAAAGTTGCGGTATATATAAAATATATCGACGCTGGAGAAAGTGACATTTCTTGAGAATGGGAACATCGGCAGGTTCCCGAAGTTGTAGATATCTTTTTTCCCAACCTCAACAAATCGCCCAAACGGAGCAATACAGTCCCAAGTACATTTCAGAGCTTCTCCAGCCAAAGAGTTAATGATGACATCGACTCCACGGCCGTTCGTGAGTGCTTTGACCCCTTGTGCGAAATCGGGACTTCGACTTGAAAATATGTTGCTTTCTTCGATGCCGTAGGTTTTTACCAGAAACTCTTTCTTCTCGTCTGTGCCGACAGTAGTGAAGATATTGGCGTTTTGGAGCTTCGCGAGTTGTATGCATGCTTGTCCAAAAGCTCCGGCCCCGGAATGGATCAGAATTGATTCATTTGGCCGCAAACGAGCTATGCTTGTCACGGAGTAATAAGCCGAAGAGTAAGCGACAGGGAAGGCGGCACCTGATTGAAACGGCATGTGGTCAGGGATCTCGATTGCGATCCTGTGGTCACACCGAACGTTTGTTCGGAGACATCCCTCCGTGACGCAACAAACCCGAGCGCCAATCTTGAATTTCGCTGCTGCTTCTTCACCAACTTGTATGACCACCCCAGAGCACTCGATCCCCAGGTAAGAAGCCGGGTCTTGCCCTAATGCGATAAGGACATCTCGGAAGTTCAGCCCAGCAGCTTTGACCTCTATCTCAATTTCGTCGGGTGCAAGCGAACCAGACAAGATAGAAGAATCAGCTTCATATTGAAGGGTACTGAGCAGTCCAAGTTGACCAATAGCCAACTTCATCGGAGTCGATTCTCCTTCTCGAAATTTTTGCATTTGCGCTTGCTGTCTGGTCGTTTTTCGACTTACGAATTCGTCCAACTCCTTGAACTCAGCAATTCTGCTGATACACAATGACCCATCAATCTCAGCAAATTCCACTTCACATTTATCCAATAAAGACTGTGATGTTTTCTGTATCACTTTGAATATCTGGGTCATTGCTCGAGCAACGTCTTGGATTCTCGACAGCTTGACGGTCACAAGCTTGGTGGTCCCATTCTCTTCTCTTACACACCTAGCGAGACCCGTAATCATGTCTCCTAGTGGATTAGCCGTTGATGAGATTTCGGAGCTGGCCCAAATGATCGTTCCGAACTTCGAGAAGAGAAGCTTCAGAAGATTGAAATCATCCTGTGAGATTTGATCAAGGAATGAATGTTCAAGTTCGAGGAAAGGAACACAAATTGACTGTTCGTCGTAGCTAGACTCAACGTCAACCGTAGACTTGATCTCAGCAACCCCACAGAAATCTTTTAGCAAATACTGCAGTCGCTCTGCTGCCTTATTCTGGAGAGCAGAATTTCCAAGTGTCAGAATGACTACTTTTGGAATGTTGAAAATCAATTCGAAAGCTTCTGATGCAGTAGAAATCATGGTATGGCATTTCGCCGTCTCGTCATGGGCCGGAAACGCCAGATCGAGGCCGGTAAATCCAGCGGATTTAAGATAGGAGTTCCAGGTCTCTCGGGTCACCATTGGACCCCATTGTCGGTGTTCTTCTGTGCCTGGACACATGTCAGTTACTGTAACGATGAAGAAAGATAAAACTAACTTAACCACCATCCAGGTAGCAGGCCGAAGATCACGCCTTCAACTATGTTGTCGGGGACAGTCAATTCGAACAAGACGAACTTTCCACCTCTACACCAATACTCAGATTTTCCTCAATCACTGCCATCCCTGGAATGACTTACGGTTTCATAAGCTTCCTGACATTCTGGAGGGTTGCATTGAGGCTAGCGGTAGCATGTATCACCTATGAATAATTGTGAGCAGATGTTAGACCAAGCGCAGGATTGATGATTACATTAGACGCAACAATCAAGTCATACTCCGCAATATCGAACATTTGGTCAGCTGGGTCCTTCTCAATATCTAGAATTCTGAATTCTATCACTTCAGCATATTCAGAGAATTTAATCTTCGCTGCCTCAAAGAAGCTAGTCGAAATATCAGTGAATGTGTAATCTTGAAACAAATAAGTCTTTTCCGCGGAATCTTTGTTGTCTTTCCTGGTTAGAGCACGAAGCACCCTGCCAGTAGCTGAACCTGTTCCTGCACCAATCTCCAGGATCCTCATTCTTGGCGACTTATGTGCCAATGTGTCGATGAAGCGAAGAGCTTCGTCGAAGCCCGAGGTGATATCGTATGTGAAGTGATAGTATTCATTGACCAAGCCCTCTTGGAATATCACTTCGAGCGCATCTACTTCCCTTTTCATGATTCGGTTAAGATTATTCAACACATTGACCATAAGCTTGCCTTGTGGGTCGTTATGGGCCACCTTTTCCAGTAATTCAGAAAGTGGCATTCGAGACACTTCGTCTTGCATCTGAGTTGTCCATTGGTCTGTCGACAGTCGATGTTCTGCCCAGTGAAGATATTTCTGAAGATGCGGCTTGATTTCTAACATTTGACCATTAAATTTCTGTACGTCCTCGACCAATTGTCGCAATCCAAAGTGACATAAAAGAGACTTCTCATGATCCATGTCGGCATATGGAGGGCAGAACTCTATGCCGCTTGAGCAAAATGAATAAACATCATCCCTTTCCATAAGGTCAAGATCCGGCTTCCATTCAACCTTGTAACACAGTTTTTGAGGCGCAACGGACTGTGATCTCGCTTCAAGCTCTGCAATGCCGGTAAAGTTGACATCTCCAACGAGAACAATGGCTTGACTTTCCGCATCCTGTCCGATAACTGTCGAATGGGCATCTCGGAACCCTTGCAGCTTGGACTTTGTATAAATTCTGACACTGGAAGCTATACTGTTGTCAAGAGACATAAGACTTGTTTCCTTTTGATTGGCAATATCTGCAGATATCCAGAGACTTCGAAAGGTTGTTGGGATCATGGTTGGAAGTGTCTCTTTTCCACCTTTGGTCAAACCCAGACACGCAAGCTGAAGAAAGGTGTCGAGTGCTGCGGGATGCATTATGGGAGACTTTGAGTCGTCTTGCCCGTATGAAGACTGCCAGTGGTGTATGTCAGTTGTTCCTAGTGAATCGCCATGATCATTGAAGCGGAGATTGGTAAGGGAACGAAATGTCGGACCGAAGTTCAGGCCAAAGTCTTTCAAGTGCGAATAGAAGATCCGTGGCTCTATCGGAGATCTACACCTCTCTGCCATTTCTCGACACTCTTCCTGATAGTTCGACATCGCTAGTTCGACTCCGCGTCCATCAGTGAAACTTGAGGCGCCACTCTGGTACTCGATCGCTATGGATCCCGTACATATATCGGACCACTCTTTATCTTCATACACACAGATTCGGAAGCCGCTCCAATTGAGGAAGCTGCCAGTTCGCTCCCTACCAGGCCGAAAGTACAACTGGACCTCAAGACCATTGTCTAAGGTGGGGAAGACAAGCGCTTTCTTGATGGATACATCTTTCATATGATATCCCTTGATGATCGACTTGGTATCCGACATCTGTTGGGCTCCCTCCATGGCCATGACCAGCATTCCTGCAGCGGGATAGATATCTGCACCATTCACCTGCAAATATGTTAGCATGAAAATGGTTCTTGGGTATCGAGGTTTTCAAACGTTATGATCCTTGATCCACGGATTCTCTGCAAGCGTGATGATATTCCGCCATCTTGGCTCCAGAGGATTCCAATCTGCGACTGCTGTTCCGAGCACAGGGAGAGGAGCGTGTTGACGAAATCTGAGACCTTTCGACAGCCTGCTTTCCAACCAGAATTTTCTGCTGTGATCAAACGGATAACAAGGAAGATCTACGAGCATGTTTCTCTGTCGACTTGGGACCTCTGAATCGTTGAACAAGCATAAGTTTACCTCATGTCCTCGACACCACAAGTTTCCCAAAGCTTCTGCAGCAGTCTCCACGGCAGATTTGCCTCGGACAAGTGTTGGCATATAAGTGATTGTGTCTTGTTTCGACAATGAATCCATTGTCGCCTTGATGGCTCCTTTCAATGTTGAATGTGGTCCAATCTCCAAGAAGTAGTTGACGGGTGGAGGAAGCTTGTCCGGTTTTAGTGACTTGCGTAACTTCTTTGCTGCCTGATTACCTAAGTTCCCTAACGCTTGAGAGAACTTTACTGGTGAGATCATGTTGTCAACCCAGTATTTGGGCCTGGAAGTTTCTTCATTGGAGATCTTTGAGCCAGTCAATGACGAAAACATCACGAGATCATCGCTGACTGGTAACCCCGAGTCGAGCTCCGAGATCAATTTCCTGTAAAGCTCGGCAATTTCGTCCATTTGTGGCGAGTGATACGCAACGTGCACCGGAAGCCTTCGCACGAATATGTTTTCTTTTTCGAATAAGACTTGCAGCATATCAATAGAGGATTTGGACGCCGAGAGTGTTATACTCTTGGGGCTATTGATGCAAGCAACTGTTACCTGCCCGTCTTCAAGTTGCAATTTGTTAAGAAAAGCATTTGCCTCATCTTCTGACATACCAACGGCTAACATTGAGCCCGGAGTTGCGGATCTTTCGAGGATTGCTGCGACAAAGCCACGAAAGTATGCCACTTTGCAAGCAGAGCCAACCGAAAGCGCACCCGTACAATAGGCTGCTGCGATTTCCCCGGAGGAATGGCCAACTACCACAGATGGGCTGATAGACCACACCGAGAGCTGCTGTACCAGTGCAATCTGAATGGCGGTACAGATCGGCTGGCTGTGTGAGGCATTATTGACGTTTGTTGTTGTCTCATCTTTCAGTAGTTCCTCTGCAACCTGTTAGATGCTAGACGCTGGTGCAAAAGAGATTGAGGGGGGATAAGTACCAACGAGCGACCATTGGCAACCCAAATCTGCAAATATGCTCGCCGAATCTTCTAGGCTCCGTCTGAATTCAGGGTACCTTAGCAACTCCCGGCCCATTGCATACCATTGGGCACCTTGCCCCGTGAAAACAAAACATATCCGAGGCGTCTGCTTTGACTGAACGAAATCTTGTTGCTCTGCCAAATTTCGCTTCAACTGATCAATGGAGCTGGCCGCCGTTGAATACCGACATCGAAATTTCATACGCTTTTCCGAAAGGGTGTATGCAAGGTCGCTGATATACTCCGCGGTACAATGAGAGAGCAATTGAGATTGATATGTTGATGTCACACGGCGTAGACCATCTTCATCCGGCGCCGAGAATACAAACAATTTTGGTGTTGCCAAGTTCGCTATGTTGTTTCCTGTGTCTTCCGTATTGACAATGGGCTTTCCCCCGGCGATGCTATCTGCTGCTGGCAATACGACAGCAGTCAGATGATTTCCGATCAAATCGTGGTCTCGCAAGTAATGAAAAGCATCATCAAGTACTACATGTGCATTTGCCCCACCAAAGCCGAATGAGTTGACTGATGCTCGGCGCAGATCACTAGTCGGCCAAGGAATAGGTTTCGTAGGGAACTTCGAAAGTTAATCGCGTAAAGCAGAAATTGAATAGGTTTAGCCACTTACTTTCAACTTGAGAGTTTCTGCTTGTATCCTCTTGTTCAGATTCCTCGGCCAAACGTTGGGGGGGATAGTTGCCCTTTCAAGCGCTAGTACTGTTTTGATTAAGCCTGCAACACCGCTAGCCCCTTCCAGATGTCCAATGTTGCTTTTCACAGCGCCAACATGGAGATGGGAAATGGTTTCTCGAGAAGTCTTGAAAGCATTACCCAGAGCTGCAGCCTCAATCGGGTCTCCTAATGTTGTCCCAGTAGCATGTGCTTCAACGAACGCCGTTTTCCCCATATCCAAGCCGGCTGCTTGATAAGTTTCACGAATCAACGTTTCTTGTGCCTTCATGCTGGGTTGCGTAATACCAGGTGTCCGCCCATCCTGATTTGATCCTGTAGCTCGAACTACTGCTCGTATTGTATTTCCATCTCGGACCGCTTTGGATAAGGACTTCAAAATGACGATTCCAAAACCTTCGCCTCTTGCGTATCCATTTGCACGTTCGTCAAAACTGTAACTGATTCCGTCTGGAGAGAGGAATCCCAGGTCAGAAAGACAGATTGACGTCTCGGGATTGTAAGTCAAATTGCAACCTCCTACTATACTCTATGGAATCGTTAGGTATGCCAAATACATTGTCCTCAAGAGAGGCCTACCATTTCGGACTCTCCAGTTACTAGACTCTGACAAGCGAGATGAAATGCAACTAAGCTACTGGAACATGCAGTGTCCAGGGCAATACTCGGACCTCGGAGATCATAGAACCAGCTCAGTCGGTTAGCAAGCATGGAAACTGCAGTTCCAGGCGCCTTGTATTTCTGTGACATCTGCAGGTCTCTATTTAAGACCATACCGTACTCATCCAAAAATGATCCGATATACACAGATGTTTTTGATCCCTTCGCTTCTTCCATTGGGATCCCCGCTAGTCAACGTGGTTCAGCTTCGATACCGTGGCCCTTGGAATAAATGACATTACCGTTCTCGAGTCCTTGATATGAAGTTTCTAAGAGCCATCTCTGTAGAGGGTCCATGCAAGCTACTTCGCCCGGAGTCATAGTGAAGAAGGGAGCATCAAAGGCGGCAAGATCATCTCGAATAAAGTGCCCCGCCTTAACGTTCACCTAAGAAATTGTTGAGGAATAAGAAATAAGCAGAGGGAATTTAGATCATACCATTCCAGTTTTGCTTTTCCCGGGTGCATAAAATGCATCCACGTTGTATCTATCTTTGGGAACTTCAGAGCTGGCTGATCTTCCTTCCATCAACATTTTCCAGAAAGATTCCACAGAGACAGCATCTTGGGGAAATTTGAGGCTCATTCCAATAATAACAACTGGATCATCTTGGGCAGGATCTGGGGTTTTCACCGAGTTACTTGAACCATTGGTGGCTGTACTCATATTCATCCTCACGCTCGTCTCCGTCAAATCATCGGAGTTTTCGCACAACGTCCCCTTGATATTCCCGTTGGCAGGAGTGCTATCATGACACGAATCATGCGAGATTGCCATTGTAGAGTCCGTCTATACCACGGCTTTGTTGGTTTAAATTCGGAGTTCAGGTGTGAGATAAAAAATGTAAGTATCACGTCTTAATGCACGATATCCTTCCAAAGCGGTGGCACGTTTGTGGGGACTTGAAACTTCCAGGCCTTCGAAACATACAACGTCCGCAGCTACATCGCAGTCGTTTTTCCTACCGTGACCCAGAAAAGGCATGCTGGTCAAACTTCTGGCCAAGCTTGTATTGCATATGCGCTGTGTGATTGGCAAGATCAACATGATAATATCCAACAGGACGGGATGGAAAAGGGGCGGTAAAGTCACAGGAATGATACGCCTATCATATGACATTGTCAAAGATCGTCGAGCAGAGTTAGGGTTCCAAGCCGTATTTTGGAGATAACCTCTGCTTCAGGGCGGAGTTGACTTACTAAATCGGATTAAGCGAGTCATGGAATCACCAACCTGCAGCTTGCATCCTCCTGTAAACGTCTATTGTAGACCGCAAAGACCCGCGGGGAGCTCCCATTCATTCCTGTACGTTGGTATACACGGATGCAGCTATGCATATGCGCTCAAATAGGAACTCGCTGGTGCAGATGAACGAGCAAGGCAGCGTGCGTTTTGTGGAGATATAAAGCCCTAGGTCCCCTGGATCAGATGCGGAAGGTCGACAGTTGGTCTACGTCCCTGATCGTAATTGGCCACCTCGTAATGTTATTTATCCATATGCCGACGAGACTTGGTATCCCAACTTATCACTTGAATTTCCAAACCATCGTTTTCATCAGTCATCGTCAACAAAGCTTTCAGATATGAGAATTCTTTGCCTTCATGGAGCAGGGACGAACAGTCACGTACGTAAAATTCCCTGTCTTTCAAAGTGGCACAACACAACGGCATGTTTCTCATTCGCGCTTCGAATTGGAAAGATGTCTCTAATTACAATTGCGCCCTCAGATCTTCGAACTGCAGACAGGTAAGTACGGAGGTGCAATTTGCCTTACTTCCCAAGCAAGAGCTCCAAATGCTGATAACGAGTAAGCCGCTATACGCTACCAGTTGAGGTCAGAAAACTACGAGTATGAATATGTTGATGGCACGATCTCATGGCCCCCACACGCCGGTAAGATTCCCAGCCGCATCCTTGATACAGGGAACAATGCACCATGATTGAAAAGATTTTACTGACAGGCCTATTGCACGCAAGAAACTAATCTGCTCCTTGCATCAACCCAAAGCGAATGCTTTGCATACTTTGAAAGAAACATCGACAGTCTCCGAACCGCGCTGCAGGACCTGCATGATTACATTATCCACAACGGACCATTCGATGCCGTCCTTGGGTTCTCGCAAGGCGCCAGCCTCGCTGCATCGTACATTGCCCAGCGTGCACTCGACCCAGCTCCAGATCCCAACTCCGAATTCAAGTGCGCTATTTTTATCTGTGGAACTTATGGTCTGCACAGCGGCGGTGAGGGTAGGATACTCAGTGTGGACGAAGATGGGGAGATTATTCAGATTCCAACTGTTCATATCTTCGGCTCGAAAGATCCACTCGTACAAGAAAGTTTAGATCTGAGCCGAATCTGTGATCAGCGGTCAAGGGTTATGTTGGATCATAAAGGCGGGCACGAAGTGCCTCGTGGGGCTGCTCTTGTATCGGAAATGGCCTCATGCATACGCGAGGTCCTTGAGAAAGCAACATTGTTGCAATAGAAACCTACATCATTAGAAGGAATACAGCTTTCCATGATCTTTACCTTCAGTATAGGCTACATTAAGGCTACATTATGTCTTCAGTCATATGCCATTCCACACTCTTGTATACTTTTTCTTTGTGAAATTATCTAGGTGCTTCGTGTGTTAAGCCTAAGTGGAATGTGATTTTGGCAGTTGTTTGCAAGTTTTTGGTGATTGGCTGAGTTTCACCGAGTACTTTATCCATCCCACATTTGGTGACAGGGTCAAACCTGCATAAACCGTTGCGAATGGTCGTATAACTCTGCCGAGATCTCTGGGGTATGCGCGCATATGTGTGGCTGTGGCGAACGTTTGTTGGCCCCTGTAGGGCAAAGCGGCATTATCAGCCGGCCTCCGCAGCATCCTAGACCAACTCAGGGAACATTTGGAGGTGTCAGAGGAGGAAGATTTTTGTTTCCATACCCAGTCGTGAGCCGCTGATTCACAGCGACCGGAGGAGATCAGGTCTGCCCAACTTTCATCGAGCCCACGGCCCACCCATGAATTACTTTTGTTTTGCCTAGGCACTCTATCAAGCCACTTGTTGAACCTAACGCAGGCACTTCGCCTCGAGCTCGAGATGGCCCAAGATGAGATCCCACGCAATGGTTCTCTGAAGGACGACATTGTGTCTGAAAAACTATCATCGCACGACGCAAAAGATTCTGCTTTGAGCAGCAAAGAAGTTGATGAGGATGTTCTACCTTCTGAAAGAGTTGAAGTGGAAGAGACGGGGAACAACAACCAGCAAGAGAATGAATCCTATCTGACTGGATGGAGGCTTCAAACACTCCTCGTTGGGTTTGTCAATTCCTTCCTGTGGTTAAACGATTTTTCTTTGACAATAACAACTAGCGTATGCCTCAATTTATTCCTTTCGAACCTAGAGACAACCATTGTGAGCACATCACTTGTATCAATTTCGAATTCCTTGCATAGCTTTAGCTCCAGCAGTTGGATTGTCACAGCGTATTTGGTGACATATACTGGTAAGTCCCCTGGACGTCCAAACCACCAAATATATACTCACGGTTACAGGATTCCTGGTCATCATCGCAAAGCTCAGTGATATCTTTGGCCGGAAACCTTTTACTGTAATTGTGTTGATTGTTTTCATTGCCTTTTCGTTGGGCTGTGGATTAACTCACGATATGACAAGCCTGTGAGTGACGCCTTTTAAAAATGGCTATCTGAACGCGCTAACATATGCCAGCATCATATTCCGCGCATTCCAAGGCATTGGTGGTGGAGGTCTATACTCGATGGCATTTGTGGTGCTACCTGAAATGGTGCCGACCAGCAAATATCCACTTTATGCCGCAATCCTATCCTCGACGATGGCACTATCGAATCTCGCTGGCCCACTCCTCGGTGGAGCAGTCAACCACAATGAAGGAAGCAGCAGTGTATGGAGATGGATCTTTCTGCTCAAGTAAGAGCTCCATCCGTGCCTGAAATCATACCTGTGCTAATTGAATTGCTGTGAAGTGGACCTGGTGGTGGGGTAGCGTTAGTTCTTATCATGCTTGGGATGCCAGCTTACTTTCCCAATCACAAATCGTCGAGTCAAGCCCACAAGAAGAACGCCCTTACCATGCGGAACCTGCGGAGAGTGGACTTGATGGGGCTTGTCTTTCTACTTGGAGCTTCGATATTGTTAGTAACAGCGTTGGAAGAAGGGGGAACTCAATACTCCTGGCATAGCTCGGTGACATTGTCTTTGTTGATAATCTCGTTTCTGTTGTGGTTTCTATTCATTGCTTGGGAGTGGTATCAAGGCAAGAGGAACACGATTCAAGAACCAATCTTTCCTTGGCGCATGGCTACAGATCGATTCGTGATGGGCGTACTTTTGTGAGTGTTTTGTCCCGCATCTTTTTCATTCTTTACTGTACTCTTCATTCTACTGTGCGTTGTGGGTGGTAGACTGATGATCTGTCCTAGAAACTCTCTCTTCTCCGGCGCGACCATGACCGCAGTAGTTATTAATCTTCCGCAAAGATTCCAGGTCGTCAACGGCGATTCTCCTCTCACAGCAGGATATCGATTTCTGGCACTTACAGTTGTTGCATCAGGAGGCGCCTTCAGTGCTGGCTTCCTGGTACAAAATCTCAAGGTCGCTCCATTCTTTGTTTTACTTGGCGGTGCAAGCTTGCAAATCATTGGCCTTGTCCTTGCAAGCTACCTCTCTACTGAATATAAAGTTCAGAAGATTATCTACTTTTACCAGGTTATTCTTGGGTTAGGATTCGGCAGCAGTTGGAGCTGTACCATCATGGCTATCCCACTGGTCGTCAAGAAGAAAGACACAGGTACGCTACTGCTTTTCCTTGCTCTCTCTTTTTGCAATTAAATCTTCGACGTTTTCGATCGCCACAAGCTAACTCCACCATCACTTTCCAGCTGTCGGTATGGGGAGTATTGGACAATTTCGCTACCTTGGTGGTTCCATCGGCATTGCAATATGCACGAACATACTCAACAAACACATATCTAAAGCTCTTTCGACTCTGCTCTCGCCCTCTCAGCTTGGAGAAATTCTTCAGTCAGCCCAAATCATAAACGAGTTCCCTCCGTCCTTGCAGGATGCCACCAGGCGAATCTATGCGGAAGGTTATAATACCCAGATGCGGGCGATGGCTGGTTTTGCTGGTGCTGCACTGTTGGCTACGTTTCTGATGTACGAGAAAAATCCAAGAAGACCTTAGTGACTGAATATTGGTTGTCAGTTGCAAAGGATATCGAAGGCGATTTAGAGAAGATACTTTAACGTGGAAATCATTGAAAATTCTCTTTTTGAATAGGCATCTAGCAATAGAATTGTTGAGAGCCATCAATCTAAGTCAAAGTATTCGTGATTTGGAGTTTAATCAGACACTTGAACCAGAACGGCCAGAGTTGAATCAATTGCTTTAATGTGAAGCAGCTAGCAATTCAGAACAGTTTAAGGAGAACATCCCCTTGCTATCCAGTGAAGGAGATATCGTCAAGTGAAGTTTTAGTGAAAATTTGCTCTATGCATTGAAGCGACGACTCGTCTAGATAGACTGCACATCATACTTGTAGCTCCATCAACTTGGCACTGCCCATTTCCAAGCGGCCCAAAGTACTCCAATCCCCACCAAATATGGGAAACTCCTCTTGACTGCCCAAACAGCAATCCCAATCTTGATTATGTTTGCCGCATTGCGTCCTTTATTTACAAAGGGGAATGGGCGATCGGGAACTTCCTTGCCTAAGAATTTGCATAGTGGCTCCCAGCCATCTTTGGGGTGGAACTCGAGCAGGTATCCATGAGGTACGAGAGAGCGGATGTGGGCCGTATGAACTGGCATGTACTCGGCGAGTGCTTTGCGATCGGTGTATGGATGAGGGGAGGTCCAATCGGCGAGTGCGAGCTCAAGACAATCGCGTATTGTGCCTATACCGTCCTATATTGACCAAACCATTAGAGAGACTCAAAGCCAGGAAGACGTGGTAGGCAGAGAAAAGAGATCATATACCGGTTCAAGATAACAGAGTAGACGCCAAATTCTCCAACTGAGCACATAGTAGATTGTGTTCTCTACTGATTTGACCCAAACATCAGGGTCTCGCTGAGTCAAGACGACTTTGGCATTGGGAAATTGAGCTACAAGCTCGTCGGCGAAGTTAACACAAGGCATATCGGCGACAGCCTGCTCTGTAGCATTAGCACATTTGGTGCAGGGAGGTTCATCAGATGCAGGATGAGAAAAAGGCGGAATAAGACTGACGCTGTAATGTTGGAGTATCTTATCAAAGTCTTTACCGGTATAGGCGGTGCCTTTCCCATTGACCTTGTAGTCAAGTGCCTCGCGCCAGCACAATGAATGCCGTTCTCTGATATTCTGACTATCTCCTGTCTCTAACATATGATAGCATCTGTAACCCAATTGATTCATCGCCGTCATCATCGCTATACAGTACGTTCAGCATCTTCAAGCCAGTAAGGTTAGGCTATACTGACTCATGGTCGAAGTACGGGAAAGGCCTAGGCACAGTACCTGCATCTCCACTGGCCGCGGTGTGATTGCCTTCAGCGAGTCCACTGCTCGAGCTGGAGACATGGCTTATGATGATCGGCGCCCTGTGAAGAATTTGCGTGAATGTATGCGGTACTTCACTTTGGGGATCCCAAGTATCAGTATTGGTGGTGCGGAGGATACGCAAGTGGCGACACTGTATCGACGTTTGAATACTAGATCAGCTCAAATGTTCTGCTCCTCAAGTCTTGAAGTCAGCCCAGAGAACCAACATGAAACTCCGTGTCCAACACGATAGCAACATAGAAGTGGAAACTTTAACCGAGTCCCCCAATCTGACAGATGCACCGTAACCCTCCAAATGTTGGTAATCATACAGCCGGTTTATTGGCTCATGCAGCCTACCCTCGTAAGCAGCACCGCAACACCATTATGTTCACTTTTAGGTATCTGCTCCGTGGCAGTGCATAACATATCCCCGAAGAGATAAAGTGAAAGGGGCGTGCAAGATTGAGTTACAAGGTATCCCAAGCCCCGCATATCGTACGCGGCCCGTACCGTGTGGACCATGAGCTCGTCAATTGTTTGGAGTGGGTTACGAGCGACAGGGTAATTAAAGTTGGCATTGCGCAATGAACTGTTTGATCATGTTCTTCTTCTGCGCATGAACGGCGTAGTCCTGCACAAGAAATCGAAAGCAACATTTGCGGTAGGAAACAACAGGTTGTATAATGCTGGTCGCTGCACTATGCAACTCGGCATTTGTATTGGTGTCCAGAATGAGCGTTGACAGCTGTGGATCAGCAAGTGCCCATGGTTGAACCGTCTGGATGAGGAAACAGGATGCAGGTCAAACGCTCACTGCACACTAATTTTCACGCCAATCGCAGCAAGTCATCTTTATCTGCGCTGCACTTCGCCGTCTCACCCAAAAATGTAAGTGTGGCACAGCTGATCCTCGCCTCCGTGGATTTCGAGAAGTGTGGTTACATGAATGCTGAGATACGGCTCAGCCAATTGGTATGTGATTTTCAAATGCCCCTATGCTCAGCTATGTTGGAACGACTGTTGGAAAGCTGGCCTATTGATCGATGATAATTGTGCTCGGCCATTCTCGACCGATTTCTTTCGACTTTGAAAGCAGCAAAATCGTATTTCTTAGACGCCATGACAGTTTACAACGCTTATCATTGGGATTATACCCTTCTGGCAGCGTTTTGTATTCCAATTGCGACAATTGCAGTTATCCTTCGTTTTGTCGCTCGTGCTCGAACTCAACAGAAATATGGCTATGAAGACTGGTTCGCAGTGGTTTCCCTTCTATTCTTTCTTGCCTTCTGCGGCTGTCTAATATGGGGTATGACTTTGTCGCTTGCACTGGATTACATTCACTGACTTCACTCAGGTGGAAATCATGGCTCTGGCTATTCTCCTCTCGAATTACCATATCCTGTCTTGGTGAAATTTCTGAAAGTTCGTAACCCAGAGATTCAAACAGGAGTCTGCTAATCTAATTTAGGCCGAATATGCTTCCGGTCTCCTCATACCTGCTTCAATGATGGCAGCGAAGAACAGTATTCTTTTCCTCTACGCCCGTATCTTCTCAATCGATAGGTCGTTCTCGATAAGCATCCGTATTGTTGGCTTCTTGAACATTATCTGGTTCATCGCTGCTACACTCGGCCTCGTATTCCAATGCAGACCAGTTCACAAGGCATGGGACCCTATTGTACCAGGCAAATGTTTCAACTATGCCGCCTTTATGCTTGGTATCGAAATACCTAACTCGCTACTGGACTTTGTTATGATGGCACTTCCGATCAGCATGCTTCGAGAGATGCGAATAAGCGTACGAGAGAAAATTATCCTTGTCATGATATTCATGTTAGGCGGGATGTGAGTGCAGCATGTATACACAGTTTTCCCGGTGCTGATCAATTCTAGGGTGGGTATCATTGGCTTTATTCGTATCGCACTTGTCTATAAGTCCGTCCAATGTAAGATGATTCGACCCTTTGTACCTTAGGAAACGATTAGCTAACGGTCATTGAAGCGAACCTCCACGAGTTGGGTCTTTGGGTTGGAATACAAACGGTCATGGCAGTCTTCTGCTGCTGTGTACCAACCTATCGTCCATTTATCAAAGGAATGAAGCTACCTAAGTCCATTACAAGCCGTTATGCTTCAATGCTCGGTCAGCGAACTGGCTCTTCGAAGACAAGATCAAACAAATCCAGTCAAAACTCTGATCCTTACAGTAAGCCACACCTCACAGACGGGAGCTATGACCTAGGGAATTTAGGACATGAGGAGAGTGTCTTGACGCGTGTCGAAGTTGGCTCTATGAAGGATAACCACAGCAGCTATCCAATGAAGACGGTTAACGTTGAGAGCACGGTGGAGATGGTCTGAGATGCCTTGCTAAAATTTATTTCTTGTTTGCACCGATACAGGGAGGGAGAGCAATATGCGCTTGTCTCATTGTAAATTAGTATGCTTCTGATGTCTCACTGAACAAAACCTCTTCGATAGCGTCAAAGGTTTCACAATTTCTTGTGAAAGAACCCACCGTTGTGAACCCAATTTGTTCGCTATGATGTATGAGGTTTGCGCAGGCTAGGTACATCCGACCATGTTTTGTGAGCCCAAACATATTGATAGACCAGCACGGCTTGTGGAGTGAGAACAATTGCCAACAATAGTTAGTAAATTGACTTCACTTTGGGGTCGGCCCGTTTCGAATGCAGAAATGACTATATGGAAAATTCAACTCTGGCGTCTATGCGAATTCAAGTCCAGAGCAACAACAACCACTCTTCAAACGAACCGAGCAAGATAGCAGATTGGCGTCAGGGATGAGTTGTAATACAACTCGTATACTTCTTCATGAAACAAAGCTGGCCTCTAAATTCCTGCAAATCGACTTGCTGCCACTTCTCTCTGTTTGTCTCGCAGAACACATTAAACAGGAAATGCATGCACTTTCGTTACATACTTACACATTGCACCCATGAACTGTGATATGATGTATCTTGATCCTAAGGGTCCAGAAAATCTACGTTTTCCATGAATCCATCGTTTCAGGAGGAGGGTCGCTAAATTCAGGGGCTCGCTAAGAGGATTTCTCCAAGATTGGCAGCAGCGACTTAGATAACGATCCTTCAAAATCCTTATTGACAAAGATAAGACGTATGTAGATAGGAGACTCTACGGGGAATCATGGGGATTTCGAGTTTCAAGTTTTTGTGCGGAACCAATCGCCTTTCTTGCAGTGCAAGAGCATCGAGAAGAAAAAAATGAAGTTGCAGGCAGCTGTGCAGAGCAGGAGGTGGGTTCGGCACAAGGATATGTTTTAGCATACCTATCAAGTGCTATCTATGTTTGCATCCTTTGTTTGTTCTGTACATTTGTCAAACTCCGGATCCACATCAAAAATGCGTCGCAAATAATCAGAAGAACTCTGAATGCCTCGTTCCTCCCAATGCCAAGGATTGAAAGCCATTCTTGCAAGTACAATCTCATTAAAATTACCCTGTGGGTCGTCTTCGGTGGTGATAGGATCATACTCTGCCGAGACTGCTTCAAATAGAGAGATGAAAGAGTGCAGGTGAAGCCTAGCGGTTGAACATTGATCTGCGTCGTGGAGGGAGTACTGGTCGCTGATTTTGATCAGGTTGATACGGACGAGGTTTTGGATGCAGAGGCTATAGAAGATGGCCAGCCACCAGGATCGAACTTTTGCGAATTGCAATTTGTTGAACATGACTTCGTGGAGGGCATCTAATGTATCTGGAAGATGACTGTTGAAGTTTTGCGATGGAATGGAGGCGGCATCTTTGGGGCTTGCATGCATGGTGGAGCGAGATTTGCGATGCCTGGCTCCGAATTGCATCTAAGGAGTGATTCAAGCAGCGAATAGAGAGGTGAATTAGATTACACTTGGTTGAGGTCAGTCAAATGTTGAATTTTGGGGGTATATGTTACTCACTTGGCGGTGTATCCGCGGTTGGAACCATTCTTCGTACAAGGATGCGTGGTACAGAAGCATGAAGACCTCTTGTTTTCGTTTTGGATCCTCGAGGCTAGGAGCAAGCTCTTTCATAGCCTTGACTACCTGTTCCTTCAATTTCTCCCCTTTCAGCAACAAAACCGGGAGCTCTTCTGCTGGGAAATGACGTAAGTAGCTCCGGTGATGGATCCTTAGTCTAGTAGCTCCAATCTCGGCGCAACGGGCTTTCATTTCCTCTTCCCAGAGTCGGTTCGCCTCGGCTTGTTTCGCTTCCCATTCTTCTTCCTCTGAGGAGTAAGGCCCGAAAGCTGTTTCAAGCGAACTTGAGAGTGGGCAGAGCTGGACTGGCTTATAATTCTCCCCAAGAGCTCCTCTTTGGCAGCCAACCTTCTTCCAGGCCACTTTGATCGTGGAAGTGCATTCCTTACAAGGGTCACCTGGGTCACACTAGACTTATCAGCTTCACAGCAGCAGGTCCAAAAAGGGTTTTCCTACCGATTTCTTGAGTATCTTACACTTCCAACAAGCTCCTTTACCACTAAGCAGCCGCATTCCAGCTCGCCCCTCGTCTGTCAATCTCCCAGTGCGTCTCGGCGAAGGAGAAATGTGTTTCTTGGCGCCATTAAGGCTCCAGCTAGGCATCCCGTCTTCCATGGCACTCTTAGCACCACCAGTCTTGCTAGAGCTTCGACTGAACAGTTTTTTGATCTTGCTTCTGCCTCTCCAACTTGAGCTGGAATGGTTGGAGCTCGCTCCACTGCCGATAGACAAATGCCCACTTCCAACGGAAAGAGCAGAAGATGGACTAGCGAATCCTGGATTTCCATAAGTATACTCATGGGCGCTGCCATGCATTATGGATTCTTGGAAGTTTGGCCAATCCGCAAAGAATGAATCAGTCCTGTCCATTTCGTTGCTCCGCAAATCGAGGTGAGTGGGGTATGTCGTGTCAGGATTCCAATCAGGTCCAGCATTGCCAGCAACGGGCATGAATGAGGAGAGATTGTCACTCATGTTTGGAGTCTGGAGTAGAGTGGAACTCCAGTCCATCAGATCGGCTTCATGTGACATGGCATGCTCCATGGCTAATTATTTGAGCCAACAGGATGACAAGATCTCAATATGTCTCACCACACGCCAGTGGCTGAGCAGGATGCCTCCTTAGATACTAGCAAGCTCCGGATGCTTCTTGATAACGTACTGCCCGAGCCAGAGAGCTGTAGAGACGCAAGGTCACTGAGATTGAGGCCGGATTGAGTTGGGGTTGGAAAGTGAGGCAAAGTAGTTCAACAACGCAAAAAGCCCGCTCTGCGAATACAATGATCAAACTCATTCGATTCGAAATCAAAACAAGAAATTGGAAAAAGACTCAAAAGTCCGTCTGGGCATCGCGGCTGAGAAAGTGAGACAGGGCGATAAACTAGGCCCAAAATGGTCGGAGCGGTCGTCACCGCTTGACTACACGTGACTGGCTTTTCTTCCAGACACCTGCAGCAAGCACATTATGCACACATCGTATGCCTACTGACATTGTTTCCAGGACCGCTGATTTCGAATCAGGTGTAGGGTGCCTATACGAAGCTGAGAAAGAAAGCCTTGGATCCAAAAAGTAGGTAGGCAACACCGCTCATATCAACAACCGCTCGTCCCGGAATGGACGCAGCGGTCCTCATAGAGCTTGGAGTGAGGATCACTCCGACATTTCGAAGAATTTCAAAAAGATGGCAAAGTTCTCGGTTTCTGTCGTTCGATCTCTCTTTCTCTTCAGCTCAAACACTTTCCTGGCCTGGATCACGTTCAGCAACATACGTATCCTGCATATCAGCCTCAGTATCAGCATATTGGATTTGATCCTTCTCAGCAACAACCATGTTCAATTTATCAACCAGAGCACCATAATGTTGCACTGGATCTGGAAAACTTTCCATACAACCCATCTGAGCCGCGGACTCTGGACAATCACATGTCCATGACAATAGCACCGCAAACCACCGCACCAAACGAGCTCCCTACTAGGGCAAAGGAGGACACAATTCGAATCAGTAACCCTGTCTTCTCCCATCAGTGCCACCACTTTATCTCAAACGCGATCTCCAATAGGCCCACTTCCCACAACCCCAATTTCATCATCACCAGCGGTAAACCGAAGTCTCCATCACCAAAAGCAAAGACTTGCATGCCCCCAACCCACCTGCACCACCACATTCAATCGCGCATACGAATTAAAGCGTCACGTCGCCACTGTCCATGGAGTGAAAGAGAAATGTGCTCGTGGTTCTTGTCGGTACAGAACAGGGAGGAAAGACAAGATGGTGGAGCATGTGAGGAAGATGCATGGGAGGAGTTAGAGTTCTGGTGTGAACTTTTCAAGAAGCAGCAATTGTTGTGCGATTTGCTACAGGCATGGAAATATTGAGTACATTAGCAATGCAATGAGTATGACTTACTCAATATTGTTTTGAGTGCGTGATAGTCTTGGAATACAAATGCTTCTGAACTGAAACTTCCCTATCTGGGCTTTTGAATGAAAACTAGATTTTCGCAATATGTCGTACTTGGAGGCTAGATATCAAGTGGTTAGGCAATCAATATATACGGGCTTAAGAGATTCGGGGGAAAGGCAAGTGTGGGGGCCTTGGTTGTCGCGAGAGAGCAAAAAGAAAAGTCGATCTGAGCCAAAAGAGCTGAGATGTTGTTGGTTGGTTTCAACGTCGGGGTCACAAAATTCATCTGAAAAATAAATATCTGGGCATATTTTGTTATACATTGTATACTTCTACTTCTACAAGTCACTGTTACAAGTCAAGATAGTCCAGATCCTCCACCCTCCTCAACCCAGACTCGTCCCTCAAGTTAACAGCCTGGCGCTCGTCAATCACAAGCCACGATGACTCGCTCTCAGCTTCAAACGTCACCAGCGCCCTCGCAAGCTCATCCCTCGTCGACTCCCTCACATCCTCCACACCTTCAATCCTCAACCGCTCCTCCAGAGCAGCGATCTTGCCATCCATCTCGTCGACTTCTACTTCGGATGGCGACTCCGCACCTTCATACTGGGAGTCGTAGGCGTTCAGGTACATCTCCATCATTCTGAACTCCGTGTCATGGAGCTTGGCGACCATGCGGAGGTGGCGCAGAGACGCGAGTTGAGCAGCTGTTGAGTCGGGGGTTGGGATGGGTTGGGAGGCTGGTGGGGAGGGCGTTCCTTGCGGCTCGGTGAATCGTTTCCATGGATCCCAGGAGGCTAGGACCTGTTGGAGGAAAGATGGAGCGCCAGCAGGTTGCTCGTTTTCATATTCCATTGCGGAAGTGAAACTTGGGTCTGTAGTTTGCTGTTGGGTGGTTGTTTTGGTTGGTGGAGAGATTTTGTTGCGGGTTTGCTTTGAAAGAATCCAACGACGAGGTTAAGTTTGTAAGAGTGAGTGTTGTTGATGCTGTTCCGAGGCAGATGGCCAACACGTTCTGCAGTTGATCTATTGTTACCAGCATAGAACAATGAAGTAAATAAGAGTTGATCTCTTTATCAAGAACAGGCATGTGACAAAGGTGTCTAAGTTTTGTTCAAGTGTCGCTTAGTGTGATCAATTGTGCTTTGTTGGCACTAAGCCATTGTTCGAGTGGACTTAGAGCAGGCTCCGCCATGAACAAAGCGCTCTCTTTGCCACAGGCTCTCCTTACTAAGAACCAGGAGACCACGAAGCCGTGGTCTCCTATACTGCACCAGGTTAATCTGACCCCATGTGCCTGATGTTCCGGGCCTAGTGAGGTAGAGTGTGACTTTACAGATGACTCTACTCTGAATCAAAGTAAGTATGAGGACCTTATGCAAGGCTTAGGGATTCTCTTAGCGTCGGCGGCAGATCATGATTTTCATTTGTTCAGTTGCGAAATTGGAGGCCAATTCAGCCTTATGTACGCACTCTTACTGCAGCCTGGTGCAAGAAATCTCAGAGGCACAGGTGTGTGAACAAAGCGAAAGACGGAGTGTGATTCGTCCGCCTATTGTGCGCACTGAGATATGACAAAGCAAGCCACTAGTCCCTGAAATGAAATGTAGAGAATGAACAGGTGCACGTTTGCAGCAGGTCTTGATCTTGTTCTAGTGTATTGCTTACTTGATCTTCAGAGGGATGTGCAGAATGATGATGTAGAAATGAAGATGATTGTTCCAGAACTACTTAGCTTGGTGGTAAGGCTGGATTTTATTCTCGTATGTGTGGGGATATCTGTCCAATATTCTCGAGAATTCAAGTGTAGGATAAGTCAGCCCGATCTTGGAGCTTCAGCAAAGCCATTTCTCGAACCAGTCTCAGAGAATAGTGGAAGCTATTGATTCGCACTGAGGTTGTGCGGCGCATGCAGAGATGAAAGGAACTGGGGAAATTTGGAGGCCAAAAGCAAAATCTCCGATCATGTGCTTGAGGCTCTGCGAGGTCAAAATCCAAACAGTGTACAGGTGTCCCGGGCCAAATTTGGAGCTTATGATTGGCCACTTTCCCGACTATCGGTGTGTGAAAGTGCTTTGGTGGCGGAAGAGATCAGTAACGTTGCACTATGCAAGCTGATACGCGGACGTGTAACCGACCGCAATTCTCGGTGTGGGGATATTTGGAGGCCAGGATTTTCAGCCGCAGCTCTCGGGCGCGGCTCTGCGGAGGTCGAAATCCACACACAGTGTAGGTGTCGAAAGCTAGATCTGATGCTTATGATTGGTCATTTCCTGACTACGAAAAATATGGTCCCTCGTGACCAAAATGGCAGTGATTAGAGGCAATAATGCACAACATAGTAGAACTGAGCGTGTCCATTCAATAGCCCTTTCAACTTTTAGAAAAGTCCATCTGAACCTCTCTTCTCTTGTTCAGAAGCAAGTACGTTATCTAGAAAATCGAAGAGAAACGTCAGATGATACACTAGTAGAAGTGAACGAAGTCCGTGTGAGAAGACGATGTCGGACTCAGCTGCTGGTCCGGGTTTCTCCTTTGCTCGAGTATGCAGTACATCAAAGCAAGTGGTGGTGGTTCTTGGCAACGACGCATGGGCCAATGCTGTATGCGGAATCAGCGCCCCGTTACCAATTTGTAGAAAGCAGAAGATACGCCTACAATCTGCAAATGCGGCTCGTCGGCTTGAAGTTCCTTCTTCCTTATCATGCATGAACTTCAAGCTAGTGCCCCGAAAGCGCCAATCAGTACAACGAGATCATCGAGCCAGGAAATCAACAAGCTGAAAGATACTCAAGGTAACAGTGATTCAACCAACGACACGAAAGCATGAAGGAATGTCAGTCCCGATGCTGCCCAACGAAAGGAATCCTTCGCTTCATGTGGCAACTCGGTCCATCTGACGAAGGTTTCGGGAAATGTAACACAGATTGAGATCATCGCCGAAACGCCACTGGGCGTTGATACAGCCAAGACAGTGGCATTTGAGTGGCAATGATGTATCCTCTCAAAGTCGATCTTCTCGCCCTTCTCAACATTTGATTGAAACATCCAGACGCCTTGCATCTTGGTATGGATTCTCCATCATCTTATCTCAAGGTTCAGATAAAAAGATTCAGCTCGCGTGTTCCTCTTCCCCCACTCACACCAACCACATGCCATCACTTCCCACTACTGTCAACCCCCCTGGCCAAACAACCAATGACTCTTTCCCAAAATGGCGTTTGCATCCACAGCAGCAAATCTAACTCCTCCGAGTCTAGCTCTGGTCCCTGAGTGCAGCAACCATGACGAGGAATCGGGAGCGAGAGGAGGACGGCGCATCGCAAGGCTCAATTGCGCAGAATCCGCGAATGTGTATGGGCAACGAGCGGCCTTTGTATTCATGACATCTGCAAGGCTGAGAACGATTCCGTTTTGCCTTTGTGACATCGAGAGTGACATAGGAGATCGTAGGAAGGATGAGAAATCATCGTGGTGACCACCCGAAGGCGACTTAACCTACTCGTTCCTTTGTCGTGACTCATTCAGCAGCACGCATGATGTGATGCAGCGCATGCATCACATGGTGGTGTTTGTTCTTCACGGTCGGGCTGGGCCAATACCGGGGAAGCCGCACGCCGAAAGCAAATCCCTTCTCGTGGCCGTCGTGGGTGGTGTTGTGGTGTTGGTGTTGTCCATTTGTATGTGCGGATGCCTGGTTCATGAGGGAATCTTTTCCGGATCCGGCAAAAGTGAATCTATTCCAACATTGGCGATTGCGACAAAGGGAGGATCGAACCGCACAAATTTTGAACTCAGCCTCGAGAAAGGCATTTCCGGGCGGCATGCCAGAAATGAGGATATTCTTTCGAGGGGAATGCGGTTTTTTATACGAGGGAAATTGTGACGGCGGGCCTGGGTGCCTGGTGCATAACGTTGTGCCTGGTTCATAAATATTTATTATCAGCGCAAATGGCCGGAAAGGGGAAAGTGTCGTCTGATCACGAAATCGGTGGTGGAATCGCAATCGCAACACGAATTTGCGACATCGACGAACGTCCCCACATACGCTGCCACTCTGCCACTCTGCCACGGCCACTGCGGATGTTGGTGGGAGTCTTGAGTCGCTGCCACCATGCAATGCGAGTGCGGACGACGAGTATTGATTGTCTCATTTCCTCCTGCTTCTGCTCCTTTTCCTCCTCTCTCCTTTCTTCTCCTCCTGTTGTGCTCCTGGTTACGTTCCTGACCGCCATTGTATCTATTCTCCCCTCGTCCTCCTTCTTCCTTTTGATTTATCATTCACTGCTTTTCCTTCCGTACAAGATCTCAAGCCCTCTCCTATAATACACGATTCACTCTGTCTCTCACGTCTTTATCTGATCCTCCTCTATCCACACACACATCACTCTACTCTGATCTGATCTGATCTGGATCTCCAAATCAAAACCTGCGGCCGAGTTACACAACATTCCCCACGATCTAGAATCACGACATAGCGATCTCGATCACGTCAGTTCTGCCGCTTCAAATACAATCCTCGGAACCCCCACAACCCCAATACAACCTCACCTTCTCAACCAACAATGGCTCCCGATCTGAATACTGTCCCACCCTCCCCTCGAGACACGCCCTCCACGATGCCCTCCACCACGCCACCCCCGCGACTCGTCTCAGCCAAGCGACCCAACATCCTGTACATCATGGCAGATCAACTGGCGGCTCCGCTGCTGAAGATGCACAACCCCAAGTCGCAGATCAAGACACCCAATATCGATGCGTTGGCCGAAGGAGCCGTGGTCTTTGACTCGGCATACTGTCCCTCACCACTATGCGCCCCGTCACGGATGTCTATGGTTTCGGGTCAGCTTCCTACGAAGATTGGCTCCTACGATAATGCGTGCTCCATCGATCCAAGTGTTCCTACATACGCACATTATCTGCGAGCAGCTGGGTATGAGACGACGTTGGCGGGGAAGATGCACTTTATTGGGGAGCAGCTACATGGATATGAAAGTAGGTTGACGAGCGATATCTACCCAGGAGATTATGGTTGGAATGTCAATTGGGAGGATCCGGAGAGGAGATTGGAGTGGTATCATAATGCCAGCTCGATTTTACAAGCAGGTGTTTGTGTTCGGAGCAATCAGCTGGATTATGACGAGGAGGTCATGTTCAAGTGAGTTTCTTCCCAACTTTGGAAGAAAACATTCTGATCTTTCTAGGTCAAAGCAATTCCTCTATGACCATGTCCGCCAAGGCCCTGGCGCTAGACCATTCTGCATGACTGTGTCCCTCACCCATCCTCACGACCCGTATACCATCGAGAAGAAGTTCTGGGACTTGTACGAAGGAGTTGATATCGAACTCCCAGAAGTCAATATTCCGCAAGACGAACAAGACTCCCACTCTCAGCGTCTTCTCAAAGTTTGCGACCTCTGGGACAAGAAATTTACCCCTGAGCAAATCAAGCGAGCTCGCCGCGCGTACTACGGAGCCGTATCCTACGTCGACGACTGCATTGGAAAACTCCTCCAGACTCTCAAGGATTGTCGACTTGACGAAAACACCATTGTTGTCTTCAGCGGTGACCATGGCGATATGTTGGGTGAGCGAGGATTATGGTACAAGATGTCCTATTTCGAGTCTTCCGTCCGTGTCCCCATGCTTATCCACCACCCCGCCTCATTTAAACCCCACCGCGTCAGCGCAAACGTGTCAACACTCGATATCCTCCCTACCCTCGTGGATCTCGTCAACACGAAATTATGGCCCGGTCTCCCAATGGATGGTACTTCCCTGCTTCCTCACCTGGAAGGTCGATCAGGAGGTTCCGATACCGTGTTTGCCGAGTACTGCGGTGAAGGGACCGTAGCACCAATGATGATGATCCGTCGAGGAGACTGGAAATACATCACCTGCCCCGCCGACCCAGACCAACTTTACAACCTGAAATCCGACCCAAAAGAACTCATCAACCTCGCCCTCCTCCCATCCAAACACCCCCTCACCACCCCCGACGTCTCCAAAACCCTCTCGGCCTTCCAAGCCGAAGCCAAGGCAAAATGGGACATTGAAACCATCACATCCTCCGTCCTCGTCTCGCAGCGCCAACGCAGACTTGTCTGGTCGGCCCTCAAAGTCGGGAAATTCACAAGCTGGGATTACAACCCGAATGATGACGGCAGGGAGAAGTATATCCGCTCGCACATCCCGCTCGATGATCTGGAGCTCAAGGCGAGGTTTCCGCCCGTGGATACGAATGGACGGGATATGTATGGTGCGTTTAAGCGTGGTGCGGGGATCCCGGATCAGGCGGGGAGTCATGGGCAGTGAGATGAGTGCGGAGGATTTTGTTGCTGCTATTAGCGAGCGTGCGGAGTTTTTGTTTTTGATCTTTACGGTCCTTTTTTTTTGTTTGAGATGGGCATTTTAGATGCGAATTTTTCTTCTTAGCGTACGGTGCGTTTTTCTCGAAATTTGCTATAAAGGTTGATCATAGTCTGCGTTGCTTTGCTTTTTGCTTTTCTTTTGCTTTTATTATGAGATGGGATGGGTGGTAAGACAGATTTTTCTGCGGATAGAGGTTGGGATGAAAAGTTGTGGCTGTTGGGGAATGCTAGCAGGTGGGAAGGGAGGAGTGAGCGGCGGTGAGACGGGGATTGGGAGGAATGTAGATGACAGAATGAAAATTTGTAGAAAATGAAAAACAGATTTAAAACATAAACATGAAAGCTTTCCATTTCTCATGAGATAGTTTAATGCGTGCGAGTGGCTCCCTTACGAACATGGGGACAAAAGTCCGTGCGTTCAGGCTGTAGAACCTCGAAATTAAAACTCTT